TGGTAGCTTTTGTAGAAAATATAATCAGAATTATTTTTTGTTACGTATTCGGCTCCCATAAACATGGTCACCGTAACCATCCATCGTACATAAAAAACTGACAAATGACCACTACGTAATCAGAGACATAGAAAAAAGACAAATTACTCAAATACCCAATGACAGCATAATAGAAGGATGTAATATAAAACTGTTGAAGAGTAAAGAAACAGGGAAAGCGATCGGAAGCGGCACAAAGCCATAAACGATTAGTTCATAAGTGTTATCGATACAAATATATATTAAACGGATGGAGGTCCATCCATTATTAGGTCAGATTGGCCGAGCTGTAGTAGTGTAGACTCTATGTAATAAAGTGTAGTGAGTGTAGACTAGGGTGCTCCAAAAATGCACGTGAAAAAGTAAACTCGGAATAATTATGCTCTCACCCCCTATTATTGTTCTATACAAAAAAAAAAATATACCCCTATTTTTTATTTTTAAATCAAAAAATATTTAGAGGCCGCTCAAAGCGCTCAAAGCTTTCCATGTATTTTATATGGGGAAAAACAACCTTTCGAAGAGATGGTACAGAATTCTTGAAAATTAATTAGCCCTATTCTGCATTTCGATCACGTTCCCGCACTCCGCTCCGCAAGAATCGAAGTTAGGTATTCTGCATTACGATCGAATCGAAAGAGGAAGAGGGAGAGAGAAATCCGTTCCCACGACAGTCGGGTCTACGTAACCGGAACGACCCAGATTTATATCTGGCCAAGGACTGTCACTCCAGCAACACTCCCCAAAAAGTCTTTGGGGAATTTGTATGCTGCTACAACAACAACAACAAGAGAAAACATCTTTAGAAATCAGCTGTTTGCCTAGGAATGTGTGAATTCGAAACAAAACAAAGAAATATTTGCCACCAAACTATAGCAGCTTATTAAGTTAAAGTTTGTAAATATTTTAAAATAACTAAATATATCTAGCATCACTGTAATTTAAAAATAAAATTTGGTTCGTGCTTTATTTAAGTGGAAACATAATTATAAAAATGAAATCCATAGCCGCGGCGTTATTGCTTGAAGAGGAGAACGAGTCCCAGATTGCTGATGGGGAAGTTGAAAGACAGAGATTTAGGGACATGTTTGATCTTTTTCAGATGAGTGAAGAATTATAAGAAATTCATATTGAACTGCATTCTCACCGCTCAACGCCAGTGAAATTATAAACGTTGTTTGAGCACTACACAACATTTGCATTTGCTACAGAGTGGAAGATTTGAACGCAAATGAATTCCATTTTGAAATCCGTCAGGAGGAGGGGAAGAACAAACTTATCCTTCCATAGCAAATCGAATTCGAGACAACATACGCACCTCTTTTTAAAAGTTAGTAAAAACGAGTGCAATAATAAAAGCATCTTTTTATGTAACTTCACATTTTATGTATGTATGTGTGTATGTATGTACATACCTCTATTAATTTTATATACAAAGAATAAATTGTGTTCAGTACATTTCACAGTCTTATTTATAGATAATGAAAACAAAACCACCTGTGCTTCCTCTATGAAAACCTCTCTCAATATCCCTTATGGTTGCCATTATTTGAGCCAATTTTTCGTATTGCCCGTATTACCGCTCGCGAAAACACAGAAATCTAGAAAACTCATTTACGATGACTTTCGCAATCACGCACAGTATATTTTACTTGTTTTTTTTTATAAAATTTTATTATTTAAACCCACGAAAACAACAATCGAAACGTTCTCCTCAAAAAATTTGCAACTTAGAAAAACGGAACTACGATCGAAATGTAGAATAGATATAATCGTAAATTTCGAAGATTGATCGAAAGGAAACGGAACGCAAAATACCAAAGTTGCCAAACGGAGAAAATTTCGATTCGAGTCGAAATGCAGAATAGGGCTGAATACTTTTTAATCGGAAAACTCTATTTCTCTTCCGGAGACTCCCAATAATTATAACCAATCTTACTAATCTTACTATCTTACTAATCTTACTAATCTTACTATCTTACTAATCTTATGTTACTAATATTATAAATGTGAAAGTTTGTATGTTTGGATGGTTGGGAAATCATCACGCGGAAACGACTGAACGGATTTGCATTAAATTTTGTACGCAGATAGCTTATGGGCCAGATTGGTTAATAGGCTATTTTTTTAAGAGTTGCCATCTGTTAAAAAAGTTTCATTAAATTAGTACGCGGAAACGACTGAATGGATTTGCATGAAATTTTGCTAGCAGATAGCTTATGACCTACAGTGAGAAATAGGTTAATTTTTTTGGAAGTGTTGCCACCTGTTAAAAAAGTTTGATTTAACTAATACGCGGAAACGACTAAACGGATTTGCATGAAATTTTGCACACAGATAGCTTATGACCTACGTTAGAAAGTAGGCTATTTTTAAGAGTTGCCACCTGTTAGAAATGTTTAATTTAATTAATACGCGGAAATGAATGAACTGATTTGCATGGAGGTTTTCACACAGATAGCTTATGAGCTAGGTTGAAAAATAGGCTCCTTTTTTTTAAGAGTTACAACCTGCTAAACAAGTTTAATTAAACTAATACGCAGAAAAGTCTGAACGGATTTGCATGAAATTTTGCGAGCTGATAGCTTATGACCTACAGTGGGAAATAGGCTAATTTTTTGGAAGAGTTACCACCTGTTAAAAAAGTTTTAATTAAATTAATACGCCCAAACGACTTAACAGATTTGCATGACATTTCGCACAGAGATAGCTTATGACCTATGTTGGAACATAGGCTACTATTTTAAGAGTTATCACGTATTAGGAAAGTTTAATTAAATTAATACGCGTAAATGACAGAACTGATTTGCATGAAAGTTTGCACACAGATAGCTTATGACCTAGACTGGAAAATCGGCTACTTTTTTAAGAATTGCCACCTGTATGGAAATGAAATTTTGCTCAAAGATTTTTTATGACCTGGATTGAAAAACAGGCTACTTCCTTAACCGATTTTCCGATTAGAACGAAATTTAGTACACTTACTACGGATTTCGGAAGGAAGGCCCTCCCATACAAATTGGAATTTTCATATTACATACATATCTCTGGAAGTATTTGTGGGAGAGAACTGAAACTTGGTATAGTGATATCTATGTGAAATCAATGATGGCATTAATCGATTGATGTTTTAATCAGTTAGTTAATTCGATTAAATTCAATCTGATTACAGTTAATCCTGATTAATTTTAATCTGACTAAACAGTTAATCGTGACCGCGATTAAAAAATTAATTTTTAATCATTAACTCTTAATTTGATCAAGTGGTGATTAATTAAGTTATACTGGAATTTCCCTGTGCACACAAAGCAAGTTAATCCGGTATGTCTAAGTAGGATTTCCCCATCCATCTAAGCAATTTCGTGTGCATTTTCATTAATATATATACCAACAAACGTTTTACAAACTAGGTTTGTAAAAGTTCCCAGTTTATGTATTACTAATAACAATATTTATAATTTTTTTATATTATGTGCTTTTTATAAGCGTAAAACACAAAATAATTACTATAACTGGTGTTTGGTTTCAAACTCGGACAAACTAGACAAATTAATCAGATTTTGTTTTTAATTGGATTAACGATTAATGTTTTAAATTAATTAAACGTAATCGCAGCCAGCGATTAACGATTCAAAAAATGTTATCATTAATCGTACAGTTGATAACGACTAATTAATTTTAATCGTCAAACGCGATTAACATTTTAATCGTTAATTTTTAATCGTTAACCAGATTAACAGTTTTCCAACACTGTGTGAAATCATGTTCATATTCACGGAGAAAAATTGACGTTTTTGGAAAAGGGGCGTAGCACCTCCCATACTAACTGAAAGTTTCATATTGCATATCCCTTCAAATGTTTGGGGTAAAGTACTCAAGGTTGGTATGGAAATACATATGTATGTATGTAAGTGAAACTAATACCATACTCATGGAGAAAAATGAGAGTTATTGGAAAAGGTGATGTGGCAACTCCCATGCAAATTGATTTTTCTATGCTGCATATCTCTGGAGGTGTTTATTGCAGAGGACGGGAACTTGGCACCGAGATGTGTACACAAAATTAATTCCATACTCAGGGAGAAAAATTTGCCTTATTCGAAAAGGGGGCATGGTACCTCCCGTACAAATTTACTTTTATACTGCATATCTCTAGAGGTGTTCATGGTAGAGTACTGAACTTGGTACTGGGGTATGTAAAATCAATTCTAAATTCATGAAAGAAGATTAGGGTCATAAGAAAAAGGGGCGTGGCACTTTCGGTACAAATTGACTTTTTCTTGCCCACATCTCCCTGGAAGTGTTTGTGGAAGAATACTGGAACTTGGTATGGAGTTGTGTATACAAAATGTTTCAATTGCTCATGGAAAAAATGTGAGTTATTAAAAAAGGAGGCATGTCGCCTCCCTTACATACTAAAAATTTCTTAATACATATCTCTGGAAGGATAGAAAATCTTTGGAAGTATTTTAAATTTGTTATGGAGATTTATTTTATAAGTGCCGTACTGATAGCAAAAATGTCATTTAATGGAAAAGGGAGAGCCGGGTTCGGCCTTATAATCTAAAGCTCTCTTGAGGCATTTGCTACAGTAATGAGAAGTGGTATTTTATCAAGGCCAGGTTACTAAATTTGAGTTGGAAATATTAGAACCCGCCGTGGCACCTCCAAGAAGGTTACATGTTTACTCGTCGTATACCTGGAACCATTTTAAGGTAAACTTAGAGGGATTGATATCTTTCGTATGCCTAGCGCGCAGACGAGATTTTATAATTTCATAGTTTTAAATGGCCTAAATACCTTAACTCGCTTAAAAAATAACGAGCTATAACGAAATGGGCACAGAAATAAAATCTAACATCATTAAATTATTTTTCATATTTGTATAAAAGCGCGGGGTATAAGCTAGTATATATATAAGGAGATTACTGAAAAATTTAAGTTCAGTGTAACTTCAATACTTATATTTTGGAGAAGCAATTGGAGTGTGCTTGTGTGGTATGTTCGATTTAATCAAGATTCCGACTCCTTGATTAGCGTATGTGTGTGAGTTATTGTTGTAGTATGCTGTGTAGTTCTTTGGAGCAATAGGGTTGAAGCCAATAGGACAGTGTGTTTCTTGTAGGGCAATCAAATGTGGGTTGTGTTCCTTGCGGATTAATTCGAGATCAATATTATTGTTAACGAAACCTTTTATGTACCATTGCAAAGTATTGAATCTGTTGATCATTTGTATGGAGAGAGCTTGTAGCCTTGTAAATTTGAATTTACTAGGTTAAGCCTTAGAGTTAAGTTTCGTCGGACGGTGATTTTGTTTCTGATCTCGGGATATAGTATTCGTTGTGGTTAATGAGTTCTTTGGTAAGATTAGAAAGTGGTGACTGGGTGGAGCTGTTGATGAAGCTGATGGTTTGCTTGCTGGTGCTGTTGAGTGATTAAGGTGAGGAGATATTTTAGCTTTAGATGCATAGGACTTTGTGCTATGTGTTAGCGTGTTCTTTTCGTTATATTTTTTGTAGGCTTCGCCTATCGAGCATTTGTAAATAGTTTTTATTTGCAGTACTTCTTTCATTTGGTTGAATCGCGGACAGTTTGTGTCCGAGGAGTGTTCATTGACGCAGTTGGCGCATTGGTTACGAGTGGATGTGTCTGGCGAGTGTGGGGGTAAGCTACAACCTTCGCAGGTAGTGGGTTTCGAGCAACGATTTTTTGTGTGCACTAGGTGTTGACAATTTCGGCATATCATGGGGTTGGGAAAGTAGGGATCTACCCGTACTTTATACCATGCTACGTCCAAAGTTTTTGGCAATTGGTAAAGATCAAATGTAATTACAATTTTTCCAGTTGGTACTGTTTTTCCGTCTTGTGTACGAATGAATTTGTAAATTTTAGCTACGCCTTGACTTTTTAGTTCTTCAACGATTTCGTTACCGTTGAAGTTAATCAGGCAGGGTGCGTATACAACTCCTTTTACTGTGTTGAGGTTTTCGTGTAATGTGACAGTGATTATACACAAATTGGAAAGATGTTTCGTTTGTAAGAACTTTTCAGCTACTTTAGCATTCCGGGCTAGGAACAGGATGGAACCATCTCTTAGTTACTTAATTTGATCGGTTTGAGTGGATTTAGCATCAATGCCTTTTTTAATTACAAACGGGCTAAGTTTTGTTAATTCGTTGTTGGTGGAAGTCATTATT